TCGGAGCCGGGGGGCGGGGCTTGAGACCCAGCCTCTGTCGCAGCGGAAGACTGCGGGCTTTTTGCCTCTGCAACCGCGGACTGGGCGGGGGCAGGGCCAGGGGCGGAGCTTTAAGCCCCGCCCGCGGGTCCTTGTTCCTGATTGGGCGGGGCGGGCCCTGGGCGGGCCCGGGGCGGGCCCGGCTCTGCTTTGACAGCTCTCTCGGGCACAGCCGCAACCGAGTTCCGTGGGTTCGGGAACCTGCAGCCCCTCTCTCCGCGCGCCCGCGTCCCCCCGTGGCCCCGGCCCCGGCCATGAAGCGCATCTTCTCCTGCTCCAGCTCACAGGTGGCGGTAGGTGCCAAAATGTCAGGGAGTATGGGAATGGGGCTAGGGTCCAAGCCCTGTGGGGACAAAAGTCCCGTGTCCCACCCCCAGGCACTATTTGCCTTTTCTCTTTGTCGGTCCTTCCAGCTCTTCCTTTCCCGCAGCGCAGCCCGCCGTTCCTGCCTTCCTCAAGACCCTGTCCCCCCCTCCCGCTCACCTCCGACCTCCCCAAGGTTCTTTCCCTTGGCCCTTTCCTGTCCGATCATCTACACTCCCAACTTCTAGTGTGTTTCCTGCGACCCTTGCCCGCTCCTGAAGCCCTGTCCTCCGCTTTTGCCCAGGCTCTTAGTACTGAACCATCCTCAGCACCTGCCCTGCCCACAGCCCCGGCTCAGCCCTAAGTTCCATTCTGCCCCCCAAGTCCTGCCCCAGGGTCCCGCTTTCCAGCCTGGTACAGTCCTCACAACCCTCCCCTCCCATATGGTCCTATTCTTGCTGTTTTCTCTCAGCGCAAGCACTCCCGGCCCGCACCTTCCCCCAGCCCTTCTTCAGGGTCTTCTCTATCCTTGCCCCGGTCTCACCCCAGGCCACTTCCACTCCCGTTCTCTCATCATCACCGCTGGCTCTCAGACAGCACTCCAAACCTCTTTCTAACTGGTGCTCCCACAGCAGCAGCCCTCTCCGGGTCCCCCTTCAACTTCTGCCCCTCTGCCAGCGGTTGCTCAATTCCACCTTTCCCTTTTTGCCCCCGCCTGCCTGCTCTCTGTGGGTGAATCTTAGGTCTGGCCAGCCTGGCAGGCACTGCCCAGAAGGCGCAGTTGCCCGGCCGCTCCACACGGCCAGGTAGGTTGCCTGCAGAATTCACCCTGACCAGTTCACTGCCGTGTCTGGTCATCAGACTGGTTCTTGGGCCAGTCAAGGCCTTCCGCCTGCTTCTCCCCAGAACCTTCCTTCCTTCTAAACCCTCGCCCAGGTGTTTAGGACTTAAACACTCTGGGCTTCCTTTGCCTGAGTCGGGGAAAGAGAGGTGGTGGTGAGAAGAGGAGAGTGGATTCGCTCTGAGAGTTCCCAGCAGAAGTCACTCTACTCCCCACGTCCCTCCAGAACAAAACACGAGCAAGAGGAAGACTTTGTGGTGGCTTAGGAAGGGTACAGTGTCTCCTCTGACGGTCTCCTACCGAGAGACCCCCCAATCTGGGGATGACATTTTCTGTGGAGATTGGAATTATGGGCTGAAGTCGCCAACTACCTGCAGCAGGGCTGCTTAGCCCACCCCCACTCAGTGATGTCATTCACAAGCAGACATGAGGCGGGTGTAGTGCGCTCTGCACGGCAGGCCACAGAGGCCCGGGAGCGAGCTGGGAGGCAACAGGAGGAACTCTGTTGGGGCCTGTCTTTGTCCCACTTATATTTGCTTCTTAACTTAGTTTCTACACATTGATCAGCCAATCAAAAGGCGTTCACCGGATGACTATTATGGTGCCAGGGATGGAGGCTACCCAGGCTCTGTGTTAACTCGCAATGGCTTTCTTACCCCCGTGGACTCTTCCCTAGTTACCGAACCTCCTCTGCACCTCCTTCCCTTTCAGGTCTGTGGGGTCTGCAGGCTCCTTAGGAGTGGGGAAGCGATTTCATTCTGCCTGACTCTCCAGCCCTGGGTCAGTGCCTCCTTTCCCAGGTGCCGGGGTGAACAGTGGGCTGGAAGTTGGAATTTGAAAGGGTCCTTCCGCTCTTCATCAGCTCCACAAAGTTCTGACCACGAAGAATTTCTACCCATTGTAAACTCTTCTTAGTGTAACAAGATGATAGGCAGTAAACTGGGTGGATTTAGAACTATCTAACTGGAAAGAAAACTGTTTCCTCGGTCAGGATGGGCTCACAGAACCCTTGATCATAGGCTAGTTTTGGCTGCAAATTGCTCTTAGAACTTCCTCATACTTCTTAGGATAAATTCCTCCACTCCCCGAGTAGCTAACCACTCTGCTCCCATTTGTCAGAGAAACAGTGTGACAATCTTCCTGGCCTCTCCCAAAGCCTGGCTTCCCAGCCACACTGGAAGATTGCCCCTGTCCATCCCCACGCCCATCCCTGGGTCCAGGGCTGGAGTCCTTCACTATCAAATAGAGCTAAGGACTGAAAAATCACTGATCATTTTCTTTTTCTCTTTTATTTAATATTTTTTTATTGATTTTTTTTTTTTTTTTTTTTTTTT